GGCGTCGCTGTACGAAAACGGGCTCAACGGCATCCTCGCAGACGAAATGGGACTGGGAAAGACACTCCAGACCATCGCATTCCTGTGCTTCCTGCGCGAGCGCAAAGTATGGGGCCCATTTCTCATCCTCTGCCCGCTGTCGACGCTGAGCAACTGGGTGTCCGAGTTCTACCGCTTCACGCCAAACACCCCCGTGCTGCTGTACCATGGTAACCCGGACGAACGCAAGGAACTGCGCCGCAAGCATCTGCGCAAGCTCGACCAGAACTTCCCCATTGTCGTCACCACCTACGAGATCTCAATGCGGGACAAGCAGGCGCTGCAAAAGTTCGCATGGAAGTTCATCATCATTGACGAGGGCCATCGCATCAAGAACATGAACTGCAAGCTGATCCGCGACTTAAAGTCCTACCAAAGCACAAACCGGCTTCTTCTCACCGGCACACCGCTGCAGAACTCGCTTTCGGAGCTCTGGTCGTTGCTCAACTTCCTTCTGCCAGACATCTTTGACGACCTGGAGAGCTTCCAAGCATGGTTCGATTTCAACGACATTAGCGAGAAGGAGGGCCAGGACCGCATTATTTCGCAGCAGACCAGCTCCAACATTGTCACCAAGCTGCACCAGATCCTGCAGCCGTTCTTGCTGCGCAGGCTCAAGGTTGACGTCGAAAAGCACCTGCCGCCGAAGCGCGAGTACCTGATTGCCTGCCCGATGGCGCCCGTGCAGTACGAGTACTACCAGGCGGTGCGCGGCCCCAACCTGCGGTCGTTCCTCCAGGACAGATTTGCCGGCGTACAAGCGGAGAGCCCCGAGGGCACGCTGGTCCCGGGTACTCCCGCCAGCCTGGAAGAGCCCGCCGAGCCTGCGGCCGTGGCTGCGGCTGCCACGCTGGCCAAGCGGAGGAAGGCAGCGTGGACGATGAACGGCAAGCTGGTCGAGGAGGCCAACGCGTTCTTGGGCGCGGCCAGCAGCGACAGCGGCAGCCTCGCCAAGGCAGCCAAGCCAGGCAAGAGAGGCAACGGGCGCAAAAGGCCAGCGTACGCCGAAGCCGACGAAAACGACACTTTCAGCGGAGACGAGCTCGACGAGCCCGCACACCTGCCCAAGGACACCACGGCCAAGGCATCCGCCAGCGGCTCCGGGCTGAGCAAGCTCAAGGCAGACGTGCTCGTGCGGCAGCTCAACCTCCAGTTCCGGCTGATGCAGCAGCGCAAGGTGTGCCAGCACCCGTATCTCTTTGACTTCCCCGTCACCGATCCGCAGGACCCCGAGTCCGAGTTCCTCATTGACGAGCAGCTGGTCAGATCCTCGGGCAAGCTGCTGCTGCTCGACCGGCTGCTTCCAGAGCTTTTCGCCAACGGGCACCGCGTGCTGATTTTCTCGCAGTTTGCCCGCGTCCTGGATATCCTCGAGTTCTACGCGGAGCTGCGTAGCTGGAAGTTCTGCCGTATTGACGGATCCGTCGCCCAGACCGATCGCCAAGACGCCATTGTGCGCTTCAACACCGACCCCTCCATCCCTCTGTTTTTCCTCACCACGCGGTCCGGCGGTCTCGGCATCAACCTGACGGCCGCCGATACCGTGGTTATTTTCGACTCCGACTGGAACCCGCAGCAAGATCTGCAGGCCCAAGACCGTGTTCATCGGATTGGCCAGAAGCGCCCTGTGCTTATTTACCGGTTAATTATTGCCGGGAGCTGCGAACGAGCCATACTGAAGCGCGCCAAGGCCAAGCGTAAGCTGGAGAAACTGGTCATCCACGATAAGAAGTTCAAAGGTCTCGGGAGCAACAACAACAATGGCAGCGGCGGTTCGGGCGGATTAAAGGATGATTTGTCCGTGCAGGATATTGCGCAGATCCTTTTGGATGACGATACAGAGTTGGTTGAGAAGGACCAGAGGGAATTGAAGAGAATTTTGGAGGCCCTGGGGCCCGATGAACAGGTGCCAGAGGAGGCTATTTTGACCAGAGAGGAGCTTTTGGCTCTGACTGATCGTAGTAGTGAGGCATATTTGAAAAAGGATGACATGGGTAGTGACAGAATTGCTGAGGTCGTTCATGTGCCGGATGAGCGTAACGATATGCTGTCCAAGATGGAGACTCTTATTTAAGCTGTTCCCCCTTATTATATTGAATAACAGCAAAGTGTCCATATTTCTCTCTTTCTGCGTTTTCTGCATTTTTTTCTGTCCTCTCCTCTACCTCTCCTCTAAGCTGCCTAATAACGCACTCAAAACCAACGTCTATTGACGCTGCTCCTCCTGTGGATGGTACGGCCCACCCAATAAAAGAAATAGTGCCTGGAGTCAGACGGCGCCTTTCGAACAGAGTTATTGCTGTAGGCATAAGCATAAGCATAAGCATGCGCATCAACTTCAGCTTCAACTGCTTCAACCGCTTCGACCGCTTCAACCACTTCAGCGAGGGGTTGGGTGCTCCTGCTCGGTTCACGCATCGAGTGATAAAGGAGATTGGGGCAAATATGCATAAAAATTTGGCCTATGCCTATTCTTTGCCATCAGACGAGCAAGAGCCCAAGCGGCGCAGAATTAAAGATGTAGCTCATTAGCCAATTCATTTTTCTTTCTTTCCACATTCTAGTGGTGTTAACGCACCACTTATTCTCAACAGTTTTTGCACCCATTCTCGATAAGCAGTCTGAGTAATAAGCGAGTGAAGTGGGCGGGTGATGATGAATTGTCGTATTTATATTCATTCATACATTAAATTACTAAAACCTTTAAAAAAAACTTAATTTTTACATAATTACACATCGACTCGCGACAGAAATGTTGTGCAATTTGCTTACTTTGCGCGTTCCATCTGTCCCCAACACCGCCTCCTCCTCAGCATCATCAGAATCAACAGACTCCAACTGGATGTTAGCCATCAACTTGCTGCCGTGCGATACTCCGTTTTCTTTACACGTTGTCGCATCCTCCAAACACTCGTTCGCACCAAAACCAATATTAAACGAGTCAATATCTAACTGTTTTGTCGCAATATCTCCGATAATGAGTATTTTGAGCTCAGATATAGTCATGTCCGCGTTAATACCCTCCAACTCCAGTACTGGATAACAAGGAATATTAGCGGTTTGTTTTTGGTTGGTGTTAAAGCTTACGATAACAGTGAATGTTTCGGTTTCAACTAGAGTCTCCAGTATATGCATTTTTATTAATGTAATTGTGAACCAAATAAAATAAAAAATTTTATAAATAAAATTGATGGTGAAATGAAGAGAAAAAATATATATAAAAGGGGAAAATAGGGAAATAAGAACAAAAACAATTCAATAAAAAAGAATAGTCGGATACTTTGTGTATCATATGTTAAAAAGGATTATAATTCTCATTTTTTAATTTTAAAATGAACTAATTTTTCTTTTATATTTTTCTTTTTATTTGCAATATAAAGGCTTTATATTTTTATTAAAAAAATAAAACACAAAATTGTTGCACAGACTGAAGATATGGAAGTAGATGTTGAGGTTGTGAATCGTGAAACAAGTTTCCATCTGCATGCCGATTGATAGGGTACTAATTGAATAATGCAGGCATAAATTAGGGAGGCATTATATTGATGCCTAAACATGCTCCCCATTTTGCAATGCACACGCATGAGTGCACACACACAAAAATTACAACACTGACTTGCCAAAGATACCAGTATTCTCACAGAAGAACCAGTTCTTGCCAACATAGTGCACACTTGGCAATGTACACAACAAAGGCGACGAGGCACATATATAAGACAAGGCTGGCGCTAGCAGTATTTTAGAAACATTAGTAATAAAACCATTTATAAAATTACCCCTAATTTTTTAACGCTAGATAACTAGTGCTTTTCACACACACCCTCTTACATGACAAAATAAATTAGAAGAAAACATTTGGAAAATAAACTAATGACCAATTCAATCCCACTATATATCTTTTTTATTTTTGAATTTATACCAATGCCAAACACATCAATACTTAGTCTTACTTTTTTTAAACAAACGCCCGTTCATAATCAAATAAGATAATTTGGGAGCAATGGGCTTTACATCAATATGTAGAAAGTATATGTATAATTTATTTACATTTATTATGTGTTTTGGTTCTAGTTAATCAATACGCTTATTTAGTGTAGTTATCAATTGGAGGGTTTGCATCTAAATAAAAATACAGGCTTAAACTATTTGTTTCATTGTTAATATACTTTTTTGTAGGCATATAATCTTTAATTAAATCCTTGGTCTCGTGATTTATCTTCAATTCTACATTTTGGTACTTTTACTTTTATTTTTGTGGGTATCAATTCATTGTCAACATTCATAGTTGCCCCCAACTAATTTAAAATTGTAATTATTAGCTTTATTATTCAATTCCTTGGTCATTGTTGCTGCTCAAAAGTATACCTTGGTCGGTGAGTATCCTGGTCTGCTTGATTATTGAAATGCTAAAATATGTTAGCTGCTGCTGTTTTATTTGCTAAAGATAAACTAAAATATTGTTAATGTAGAAATAAAAGATGAGGAATATGGTAGAAAATGTTTCTCATTTTATACTAATTTTCTACCCACTCGTTTCTTATTAATTTTTTATATTTACAAGAATATCAATAAAACTGTATATCAGAAAAGGAAGGTTTACTATCAAATGAGTCGATTTAGATCACCCTTTACTTTTCAATGCAGAATTTAAAAACTAAACAACACACAAATATTGTTCTAAAGACGGTTTACATTGAAGAAATAAACGAGACTACTAATATTTGAATTTTCAAATATCCTGCAAATCAACAATTTTCCTCATCAAGATTGCATATCAACCCAGAACGTGGTTTAAAACTAGAGACAATAGACCATTATGTTTGACAATACTATTTAGTTTGCTGCTTCTTTTGAAGAGGAGAAGCAGGGGCAGATTGATTCTTACGCGCATGCTTGGTCTTGGGCTTGAGCTTGATCAAATTCTCGGGCGTTGCTGTAGACCCAGATTCAGCCGACTCTGACGATGCCTTTTTGTGCAAAAAACGGGGAGGCCGCTCGCTTGTAAGCAGGGCATTAAGGATGATGTGAAAGTTCAACGCCGCAACCATGTCACAATTCTACTTCTGTCTGCCTGATAGCACTTTTTCGCCATCCTTGGATTTTGGTTCCGTCGGCCCTAAAGGTTTGCAGGCAGTTTTTCATTGTGCACTGGAGCAAGCTGTGTCATAAAATTTGGCAAGGCTTTTCTACCGCTGGAATTGTATTAACGCCTGTTGCAGCTACCTGCTCCTGCTGCTGCTGACCATTCTGCTGGTGCTGCTGCTGCCATTGCGACGTGGTGCTTGTGCTTGGGATTCTTCAGACGAGGATCATCAATTTTGTGAAATTTCTCCATCCTGCTCTTACATGCTGGGCAAAACGTTGAGGTGCAATACTCATCGATCAAACAAACAGTGAATCCTTGGCCTATTAGCATTTCCTGCAGCCCCTTGCCACGAATTGGCTCGTGGTAACGGGCCATTCCTGGGGTCCAATTGCTAATAATAAGGACAGGATCTGGCTCAAATTTTGCACGCAAAGATTTTGCAAGTTCGACGTCAGTGCGCCTTCTGTTGACAAAGGAAAAATAGCGGAGCTTGGGCTGTAGGGGGTCAGTTGAGCTGCTGCCGTCATACTTGCAACTCTTGCCAAGGGTCTAGCGTGCTGTGATAATGTTCTGCCAAAACAAAATATCCCTTTCGGCGTTCTAGGAAGTACTCGGAATCTAACTTGCAATCAAGTGTGCTGGACCCAGGGTGGTTGAGCGCGCGCGGGATCCTCAACAGATGTATACCAACCATTTGTTTCCGCCTTGGCAAATTTTGCGGGATCGAGCTTGAAGACCTTTTTTTGCTCCCTCGCGGATCCGACAAAAATACACACACGACAAACATGGTAGCTGGTGGCGACATGGTGGTTCCTAATTACGCTTGAGTATTTAGTATAATTTTTATTATTTATTTAATATATTGAAATTCCAATAATATAATTTCAGGAAATACACTAAAAATATTTTCAAAACCAAAAAACCCGAATAATTGTGTTCTTAACAGACACGTGTAGCCCGTAGCTGAAACAAACAAACAAGCATTTATTATTTATTTTAGTTTCAACTTTTCAATATTCTGGAATCTCAAACAAGGCCTTTAAAAATTCAGGAAATCCAAAAGATCTGGAGTCGCTCCTGCTTAATTTTTGGGAATGCTTTTGGATTGTTCGGCAGCCCCTCACAATAGTGCAGCTGTTTAAAATCTATACAGTGCCATTATAACCATGTCCTTTAAATATTGTACCAAGATCATTGAATTATGAAACGTTATTTTTTTTAAAAAAAAAGTCACTCTGCATTGCTGTTGCTACTTTCGTTGTTACCAGCTCTAGTGCGGTTATCAGCTGCAAATTTGTTGACAGAGTTTGGAAGGGTGTGCGAAATGTACGAGGCAACAGCCATTAATAGCGCGCACAGCATCCAGGCAAAATGCGAGTTAAACGGGAATGGTAGCGAGTGCTTAATTGACCAGCTCCATGCGGTTCCAGAAACTAGCGGACCTAAAATCCTTGTAAACGACATGGCCATCTGCTGCGCGCCATTCATAAAGCCCAGATCCGCCCTTGAAGGCGCAACATTGGCTGTAATCAAGTTAATACTGGTAAATGCCAAAACGTCACCGGCAATGCGCGCCAAAAGCAAAAAGGTGAGCAGCGCCCAAAGCAGACAATAGTCTAAAGATAGTGCGCCCCAGGGTGTTGAAATGGCAGGAAGCGAGAGAAGCGGTGATGCGTCGGGCACAGCAACATCTATGGCTGATTTGACTTTATCTGCAAGCAGAGAAAGAAACGGAATGGCAATAAAAACAGGAATCAGTATTTTCATACCTGCCTGGTAGCAAAAAAGCACGCCATGCTTGAGAGCCAGCTTTGGATAAGCAATGAGCTGCACGTACAGAACTGCAATTCCAGAGATAGCCAACGAGTAACCAATCTTGCGAAATTCAAATCCGAGGCCACCATCACTGGGCTTGGTAGCGGCAAATATAGGATACAGCTGGTCTGACATTGACACAGACATGCACATCAGAGCATTGGTGGTCATGACGCGGATAACTGTCGGTGTGAGCAGGTCGCGAATCGACCGCTGCTCAACTTCTACAACGGTGCTCTCAACATCGCGGCCAACCAATGGGGTCAACTCATTGGCGGCATTTGTCGACAACCGTGGTACTAGTGGAGCCGTCACCACGCAGGTTTCCTTGACCAGAGTCTCATCAAGCTGGTAGATGCCCATGATAAATCCAAACACTGCAACTATTGAGCCAATCAAACTGGGCAGCAAATAAGGGAATGTAGCAAAAACCTTGCTGCTTCCAAACAATCCAGGATATTGGTGCACAGGATCAGCAAATATACCACCAATAGATGCACCAACCACTGCGCCGAGATTCCAAGCAAGCGGGAGCATAGCCATCATTCGTGGGCGATTGGTGTCATCGGATATTTCAACAACAACAGACTTTACCACGGAAGATGTACCAATAAACATGCCATTCATAGAGCGGGTTATCAAGGCCCAAGTGAAAGACCTCGACATTCCAAACAGAATCGTGGTTGCAGTGTTGCCAACCAATCCGATGAGAATGACTGGTCGGCGGCCAATACGGTCAGAAAGACGACCCCAGTACATGACGGTCATAGTCTGGGAAATTGAGAGTGATGCCATTATTAGTCCGGAGTAAAATGCAACGTCCTTTGGACTCTTGACCACATCAAACTCGGAAACCATCTAATAAATGAAGAATAAAAAGTATGGATTATGTTTAGATGTACAATTAAATTAGCCATAAATTATAAGCATGTTTTTTTTTTACCTTGTAGATGAATGGCAGCACCAGCGAAAAGTTGATAGGGTCAGATAGACGGACAGCCAGAAGCACAGACAGCTTTCCCCATGGTAGCGGCGTTTCTCGAATAACAGCAGCACTGTTGTTTTCAGCAGCTATTATTTGTTCTTGGTTTTGGCGGATGCCAGGTGGGCTGGCGTTTCTTGCGGTCGGCATATTTGAATCTAATAATAAAATAAAATAAATAAAAATATGTAGATGAAATTGTAGAAAAAAGAAAGGCGAACAATGAACGGCATGCTGCGACACAATTATATACTGCTTAATTTTCTATTTTCTATTTCCTTTTCTTTTTCTTTTATATGAATTGTGCGCTCTTTTTATTAAAGACTATAAACTAAAAAGGGTGATGCCGCTTATAACACTATTCATTCATTTTTTTATACCCTCTCAGTTTTAATTTACACATTTTCCCACAAGTTCTATTTATTCCTGAGCAAAGCAGCCATACCTTGTACTTGACCGTTTAAGTTTAATTTTGCTGACCGCTAAAATAGCCAGACAAAATTCGCCGTGCATCTTTGACCGTGCTGTCAAAATCAACTGTGGCATCTGGAAGACCAGTGACAATGGGGCTTTCGCGACCAACAGCTAGTTCGCGCATCTCAAAGAACACAGTCAGCAGCGGAGTAGCACCGGATGCAGAACTGTGGATAACTGCCTGCATGGCCTTGTTAAGTTGCTCCTTTCTATCTGCTATTTGGCCCGGGGCCCAGGCATACAAGATGCTGTGACCCAGTGGCGTGGCCATAGTAGCTTGGGTCAAATAGAGCAGCGACACAGTTTGCTCGCCATCCTTGCCAATGTAGCTGAGCAGAGCGCTGGTGTCATCGCCCAAAACAGGCTGGTCCAGAATGCAAAACGCCCGAGAAATAACCAAACTATCGTTTGTTGCTGCGCTCGCATTTGCATAGCTGGAAGCCATGATTACGCTCTTGGCGCGCACAGTGCCGTGGCTCTGCAGCCGCACGTTAAATCCACCGTCCTTGCCGCCAGATACCTCGACATCCTCGCCCAGAATGTATGTGCCGCCCGACACTGCGCACAGGCGACAAAATGCCTGCGCCATCTCGGAGCCACCACCATACATTGCGCACAAATACGCCATGCGGCCATACCGGCCCATTGACCTGACGTATTTCCTGACGCTCTCGCACCCGTCACGCGCACTCGGAATCTCGCCCGCACCCACACGAGCAACGGCATAAACAACAGCATCGAGAAGCTTGCCATCAAGTTTGAACTTTGTCTGAATAAATGAAACAAAGTCAGAACTGTCCTGTGTCGCTTCGTCAAGCAGCTTGTCACACTCGTCGTCATCGCTGATAACTGTCATTAGCCGCATGAGTTTGCGTTTCTCAATAAGGCTCAGCGACTTGCTGGCAAAAATGTCTTCCTTCGAGTCAGGCACGCGCTCGAGCACGCCGTTGCGCACAAGGTAGTTGTGCTCGAGGCCCTTGAACTGTACGTACTCGCCAATTCCCAGGTCAACCAGCAAGTCGATCATGTCGCCGCGACACAATGACAACTTTGGTGCCAGCTCGATCGAGTACTTGCGATCATTGGCCAGCAGCCTTTCGAGCAGTGCCCTGTACCTTTCACTGTCAAAATCTTGGCTACCAGTGCTGTATGGCCCCAAAGCTTGAAGCAGTAAGCTCGCGCTATTACAAGGCACATCAATACTGGAAAGCGCCCGGTCAATGACAAGGGTTGACGATGATTTCTGGCTGGCGTCGCCCAGAATGACCTCTACGCGGGGTGTCTGTCGCACATCGCGGTGTTGCACAGCCCACTGAAAAAATGAGGACAGTGAGAAGCACGCAAAGTTTCCGCCGTAGTACGGATTGCGGTCGATGTGGAGAACCTTTCTATCGGCGGCAGCAATATCGCTGGCAATAATGGATTCAATGAGGCCGGTGCCGAGAACGACTACATCAAACTCTTCATTATCAAGCGAATTCTCCATGTTTGATTAGATTAAGTTTCTAATAAATAATAGTGATAATTGCAAATGTATAGTTGCTTAAAATACAAATTTTCATAAAACACGCTGCGGCCATTTACAAAAAAATGCTTATAGGATTAAATTTCAAGTCAAATGATGTGGGATATGACCACGTTTGTTATCAAAAACATTCCTCCCATGTATTGTTTTATCTGATGACAATTGCAGTATACACTTTCCACCTTTCACAACCAGAGACGGTGCTAGTTAATCTGTTAAAATTATGTGTTGCTAAATAAATGATATGCTGGTCCTTATTCTTTATTTGAATAGCTTGTCACAAATCCAACAATTATTTTTGCCCATGTTGCGAATACATCCCCTTAAGCGAGTCCAATTTGTCATCCCTCAAAAACAACTGCAAATCTGCTTATGCTGCGACTGGCTTTAAAAAACATTCTCACTTGAATCCTTTTCATTTTCTCTAGCAAAGCAAGCAAAATTAGACGAAGGTAATTTATTGCTTCAATTACGATTTGCATGGATTTACTGCCAGCCGAGTACGCTTTTCTTTTGCAACTCTGTATTTGAAAGCAATTCGCACAACTAAATAAAATTATCTTACAGCAGTATCCACAGCATAAACAAAAACAACATAAAAATAGGTTCAGCATGTCGCATCTCTTTTCCTCTGCTGAATATTTTGCCTTTTGCTTTTTAATTTAGTTATTTTCTGCTAATGGCTGGAATTGACTT